TTCCCAGTCCGGGGAGCAATGAGGGTAGATTCTATAATCTCAATTCTACCTTTGCCCAAGCTCTGCAGGTTCCTTCGTTGGACACCCCAGTCACCACCCTGGCCTCAGCTTCGACCATGGTGACTGGAGACATCGCCAACTGTCTTAAGGCAGAAGACAAGAAGGCGGAAATGATTTTGCGTAAGTCATTCCAGGCAATAACCTCGGCTATTAGGGCGGCCGCTTCTGCATCCTTTTTTAATAGGTCAACAGTGCTGTGGCTGGAACAGCTGAGAGACAGGACCCCGGCTACGGAAGTGCGACTCCTGCAGGACATCTCCAAGATGCTGGAAGCCATGCAGTTTTCGGCAGATGCCACGCTGGATGCAGTTAAGTATGTTTCTCGAGCTCTGTCCTCCTCTGTAGCGTCCAGGCGCCTGCTGGGGCTGCGCCACTGGCAGGCGGAGTCTCGGGCTGAATGGCACCTGGCAGGAGCTGACTACGCCAGGGACAAGCTTTTCGGTGCCTCGCTGGATCCTATCTTGGTGGAGGACAAGAATAAGCAGAAGGTCTTCCTGACTATGACCAGACGGTCAGATCACCGACAGGCTCCTTACCCCAGGAGAACATCTTACCACCCGCCTGACACCGACACCCAGAATCAGAGGTACCCGCTTCCCAGGTTTCATAGACAAAGGGATAGGTAGTTCCCAAGAGACAGGTTTAGAGGCCAGCAGCAAAGCAAGCGGCCCTTTCAAGGAGGGGGCGGCCATCCGCAGGTTCAAATTATCCGATTGCGGATCACCCCCATCGGTGGTCGCCTCTCCCTATTTGCGGATGCCTGGGAACACGTCACTTCGGACGAATGGGTCCTCCAGACGGTTAAACTCAGGCTCCGGCTGGAGTTCCGATCGCAGTCCCCGAATAGATTCCGTACCTTCGCCTCCTCTACAAATCCGGCCAAACGGGCTCTTAAGGCTAAGGCCATCAAACACCTGTTAGATATCAGGGCTGTAGAGAAGGTCCCAGAGGGGGAGAAGGGTTCTGGATTCTATTCGAACCTATTCCTGATTCCCAAGAGTTCAGGGGGCTGGAGAGCCATTCTGGATCTTAAGCTTCTCAACTCCAGGGTGGTCTACCGTAAGTTCAAAATGTGTTACATTCATGGCACAATAAGACTGAAACTCCATGCACAATTACAAGAGTAAGTTTAATTGAATTTAGTGGGACTTCTGAATATGCTTGTAATGTATAGTGCTATCCCATTAAATTAGCTTGAAATGATGATTTCCACCCATTTTTAAACACAGATTAACGTGGCCTTTTTGTGGAAAAATTAAGAGAATAAAAAATGAAGATATTACTTGATGGGTAACGAAAG